GCTCACAAATATGGCTTGAAGATATACAAGATCCCAGTGGTTACACTTAGGCTAGTTATGAGTATCCTGGGGAAAAGGAACACATACACAAGGTATTACATGATCTCAGTGGTTACACTTAGGCTAGTTATGAGTATCCTGAGGAAGAGGAACACACATATACAAGGTATTACACACACAACTTAAACTGTATTAGATTTCGCTGAAAGATATTTGAGAAAAGGAAGAACCATTGCTACAGACAATTACTATACACCCATTTCTTTGGTCAAGTCCCTATTTGAATGGCAAACTCATCTTGTAAGGATCTGTAACACAAAGGATGTGACAACAGCAAAGCTGAAATAGTAGGGCATGAAGAAAATGGTGGCGTAGTTGTTGTTAAAGCGCAAGAAAAGCAATAGGTGTTGATGCTGTCCACAAAACATAATCTGAAGACTTAGTACCGGAAAGAAAAATCGCAACAATGAAGAAATCAAGATCCAAGAAATGATCGTATAATTCTGGAAAACTCTGTATTGATGTTTCTGATCAAACGTCAAGTTACTTCATACCTCTTGGGAAAAACAATCCGATGGTACCACAAAGTTGCATTTGAATATCTCTTGAATATAGCTATAATAAATGCACTCATCATTTTCAGAGAAATTTAGGAAAAAAAGACCAACAGATTGCTGAATTCAGACAACCTATTATTCAATCACTGTGCAAAGAATAGGAAGTTCATCAAGCACAAAACGAATCTTCCACGAGCAAACACACTTTAGAACCCTAGGAAACCAGGGATGCTTCAAACAGGAAAAATGCAAACGATGCTCAGGATGCTACACCCGATGGCAGAGAAGTAACAGTCGTATGGAGACCATCAAAAGGACCAAAAAAGATTCTACATACTGTGGTAAATATGATGGGAATCCTCCCTACTACTTGAAATGTTTCTATATTTACTTTTTTGGTGGTAGAATAAAATTTATGTAGGTAAATACTTTTCTCATAAAGATATATTTTTTTTGGATGTGAAAATGTTTAAAAAAATATTTTTTTGCCAATTTCAAAGTACTATATAATTTTCTCTTCAAAAAATGCATTATTTCCTACTAGGTTGTATATGGAATAAAATATAATGTCATTTTGTTTTCATTTCCAAATTATTTTGTCTTTCATTAAGGGCAGCACAATCACAACGTTATTACGTAAATGAGAACATTCCTGACATGCCAAGAAGCAATCACAATATCGTAGAGTCAAATGAAACAAAGAAACTTTATATTTTAAATACTATGATCACTGGAGGGCATATTACTAATAATGCCATGTGAACCTCAGGTGGGTCACATGGCAGCCAACGTAGTAAATTCCTTCTATAATAACATATCATCTATGAAATTCTTCATTAACTTTTAAAGTATTATAGTATATTATGTAAATAGTATTTCTGATAAAATCCTACAATGGAGTATAAACACACATCAAGTTAAACTGTATCATTTATTATAAACACACAAATAGATACCATCATGTTAAACTGTATCATTTACTATAAACACAAATAGATACCATCATGTTAAACTGTATCATTTAGTATAAACACACATCATGTTAAACTGTATCATTTGGTATAAACACACACCATGTTAAACTGTATCATTTGGTATAAACACACAAATAGATACCATCATGTTAAACTGTATCATTTGATATAAACACACAAATAGATACCATCATGTTAAACTGTATCATTTAGTATAAACACACACCATGTTAAACTGTATCATTTGGTATAAACACACATCATGTTAAACTGTATCATTTGGTATAAACACACAAAATGTGAAACTGTATCATTTAGTACAAACACACAAATAGATACCATCATGTTAAACTGTATCATTTACTATAAACACAAATAGATACCATCATGTTAAACTGTATCATTTAGTATAAACACACATCATGTTAAACTGTATTATTTGGTATAAACATACAAATAGATACCATCATGTTAAACTGTATCATTTAGCATAAACGGACATAATGTTGAACTGTATCATTTAGTATAAACAGACATAATGTTGAACTGTATTATTTAGTATAAACACACAAATAGATACCATCATGTTAAACTGTATCATTTAGCATAAACGGACATATAGATAGCATC